TTTGGATTTGTGTAAAATTGGATTTTAAAATACAGCTGACATCAGATTTTTAAGACAACACTAAGCTGTCCGCAGTTACATTTTTAAAAAATATTTATTTTTCAGTTTTAGGTGGACACAATATCTTTATTTTTATTTTTATGTGGTGCCGAGAATCGAACCCAGTGCCTCATGCATGGTAGGCGAGCGTGCTACCACTTGAGCCATATCCCCAGCCCCTGCAATTAGGTTTTATCAGCTTTTAAATCCATAGATCTTTCTGGCATTTTCTTCTTTGTTAATTACCAATATATTGCCGATATCATTAAAGGATACTTTAAAAATAGCCACTTTGATAACTGGAACCATCAAATGATTAGTGCTAGTATTGGTAATAATCAAATAGAAAACTGGAAAGTAACAGTTTTGTCTTTGTAATAGATCTTTGGCTTTCAAGTCCTTTTTTCATGTTGTTTTTATAGGATGGGGAAGCAGTTCTGACCTGAGAGGTGTGGAAGTCAATTCTTATTCCAGCTTCTTTTAACCTGCATTGTTTAAAAACAGCAAGAGCCCAGGCTGCTTGCTGAAAATGCAGAATTCATTCTTGGATTAATATTCTGGTACCAGATGTATGAGGCTGGCTCCAAAGAAGCTTTTTCTTTTAAATACTGTCAAAAATAGAGAAGCTGAAGATTGGAGAGAAGCCATTTATTTTGAACAGTTTATTTTATGACAGTTTGTGTTTGTAAAGAAACCTGCTCATAATATTTACTTAAGAGATCTACATAGTTGCCCAAAGAAGCCCCACAGGTTTCTCTTTTTTCTTTAAAAAAGTTTCCATAGAGCTTAACTCTTATGTGATACTTCCTGACTTTGCTTCTGATTAGTTGATTTATGGACTTTATTTACCAGCATGATTGGAGAATTCTTTTGCTAGACTGAAATTGCACTCTGCCTGGGCTCTGGTCTGTTTCCTAGGTAACAAATGCACTGCATAGATTCCATAATGAGGACTGTGGTTGGCTAGTTACTGTGTAAATTCTGTTGTTTGGTAAAGCTTAGTCTCAAATTCAAATAAAGGTCAAGAAAGCAAAAGTACTGAAAATGCAAATTTTGAAATTTTATTTTGTATCCAGTGCCAACAAAGTTTAATAGGCTTTTCCAGAGAATTATACAGCAGCATTCAAGTTTGTTTTGCAAAGTCTTACACTTAAACAGTTGGAGAGCTTTTTCAATATTTTGTACTGTTAATGCTAATGGCACTAGTGACAAAGAGGATATATTTCAGAAACATGTTATCATTCATGCAAATACTATAGAAAACAAAGGGATGGTGTGATATCAGTAATATTTTTACACTGAAAGGGAAGCAATATATATCTCAAAAGGAAAAAATTGTACAACTTCAGGTGAAATGTAACTTTAAAAATATTGACATTAAAACATTAAGGAAACTTTTAAAAACATTAAAAATCTCACCATAAAATGATACATTTGTACTCTAGCCTTTTTTTTTTTTTACTTCTGATTTGTCTGAACTTTTATGGGCCTGGCACCAAGGAACAGGTTTCCCTTATTGTAGTTCCAAGTTAGAGAATATCTTTCATCTCTACCCGACTCTTCTGTTGAGATCTATAGCTTCTATCATTCTCGGGTGAAGGTCCAAAGTAGTATGTGTGGAATTGCTAATAACTATTAAATGTTTGTTTAAAAAAAAAAAAAGGAAGAAAAGAAACTTATCAAAAAACCGAATTTCACTAAAACCTTTTGTAAATGTCTTTTGACTTGATGTCTGAAATTTTTTTTGTTTGTTAATCATTAAGGATTCTCTTGGCTCAAATATTAAAACACAACTCTTTAATTCCAGAGAATTATCCAAATTTGTCCCCATTAATTTCTCTCGCTTGACCAGATTGTTTTTGAATTAGTCTTTATTTTTTAGTTGGATTTTCTTTATCTTCTTGATTTTCCTCAAAGCCGACACTGCTTATATTTCTGTCCTTTTCTAATTGTAAATATTGTATCCTTTCACGTTTTTCTTATTTTTTCCATTGTAAATATTTGTTATGATTTTTAGATTTTATGATTGCATTGGGTAAGGCATAATACCACCTATAAAACAACCTATTTTATTTTGGAAATTCATATTTTTAGGATGGAGTTAATAATATTTGTGGATTCTTATCCAGTTAGGACACTTCCTCCCCCAGCCTATGTTCATTTGGTAAGGCTGCCATACCAAAGTTTAACACACTGGGTGGCTTAAACAACAAAAATTTCTTTTCTTTTCCTTTAAAAAATATTTTTAGTTGTAGATGGACATGATATCTTTATTTTATTTGTTTTATTTTTATGGGGTTCATAAGGGTCGAACCCAGTGCCTCACACATGCTATGCAGGCATTCTACCACTTAGCTAGAACCCCAGCCCCCCAAATTTTTTTTCTGACAGTTCTGGAGGCTAGACATCAGATTAAGATTTCATCAGGGTTGGGTTCTTCTGAAGTCTTGGATTGTAGGTTGTTGAGGGCCACAGCCGAGTTGGGATGACACATGGCATTTTTGCCAGAAGTAGTGGTTGAGAGGTGACGCCAGCTATTAAGCTATTAAGATGATGACTTGCCAGCTATTAAGCTATTAAGATGATGACTTTTGAGTTCTCGGGGAGTTCCTGTTGAGTTCCGGTTGAGCTCTCCCGGGGATTCCTAAAGAGTTCACA